CAATTGAGTCAATCATCGGATGAGGAATGACAGGTCTACACATCCAGGAGGAAGAAGAAGAATGGAGACATACTTGAGCTTAGAAATCCGATGGGTGATACTTTGGCTACTTCGGGTAATGATATACATCTTACCAATTTGTTAGCTGACTCTCTTCCGCAAATTAGAGATAGAGGAAGAACTAAATTAGGACGTCTCTAGCACCTTTGCGCCTGTTGGTGGATTTTTGGTTTTTTTATTTTTTACTTTTATCTTTATGTATCTTTGCTTCTTTGGATTTTTGTGTGTGTTGTATTGTGTGAGTTGGGTCTTCTTTTAGGCTATATATATATATATATATATTAATTTTTTGTGTTAAATAAATGCATAATTTTTTTTTAAGTGTGGTATGATTAAAAAAAAAAGTTTAGGTGTTAGATATGTAAATACATAAAATTTGGTGGGTTTGTGTGCTAATGTCCCTAAAATATAGCTTAGGGAAGGAGATCATGCATGAGTCTCACCGTAGCCGCAAACTGCACACCGAGAAAATTGCCACTTGTTTTCATTTTTTGGGTCCCATCGAACCCACCCATGACCCATTCACTCGTTTGGTTTTACTGGAAAGTCTAAAATCGGGAAAAAAGATATACAGGAACACACAATCTCAAGCATTTTAGTCCCACACTGCAAATGATTTAAAAATCAGTTTGAGAAAAGTTTATAAAAGCTAAAACTAAGGCTTTGCTAAGTAAATAAATTTGTATGGTTTGGGTGTAAAACATCCAAATTATTATTAAATTGAGAAGAATCAGCCTAAGCTGGCTATGTTTCAAGTAAGATTTTTAAGTTTTTGGATGGATTTCTAAGATAATGTTTCAAGAATTGCATGAACCTTCTGGGCATATCCTCATTGTTTTATGAAAAGACAAGGTTTTCAAAATATTTCTCAGAGCGCACGTTAAAGTCACATTTGGTGGGGCCGTTCTTCATGTGGTATTGGAAGAGAGTTAACTTGGTTGGCAAGATGTTTGAAAATTCCTTCCTCTTGTTTAGAAAATTGTCAACATAGACCATTGTGTTTTTCTTCCTTTGTTTTTCCAAAGGCATTGCCCATGAGACATTGATAGATGGCTCCAATAATTTTTCAGTCATGACTTAATAACATAATGCTGCGTCGTATGTGATAGAAATAATTTTCTCTTTATCACAGGGATGCATTATGATTCAATGATGGCTAGAGAAATCCTCAAGGAAACTCAACAATGTGCAGCCCACCATTGAATTAGAGAGTGAGTAGATGTTGCAAAGGGGATAATTATCCTTATGATAAGCTTCATGCATCTTCTTGAAGTCAGGAAACTTAACAATTCTTTGTTAGCTTTCTTCATTTGATTTTTATTGATTTAGAAAAAGCTTATGATATGGCTCCAATAGATGTCCTTTGGAGCGTTATTGAGAAGAAAGGTGTTGCTATGACTTATATTCAAGTCATTAAAGTACGTATACTAGAGTTGTTTGTGTTCAAACTGAAGCAGGATTGACCAATTATTTTCCTATTTCTGCTGGATTACATCAGAGATCGACTTTAAACACATATCCTTTTGCTTTAGTTATGGATGGTCTTACTGAAAATTTATAGGAGGATGTACCTTGGTGTATGCTTTTTGCTGATGATATCCTTCTCATGGATTAGACGAGAGAAAAAGCCCAGGAAAAACTTGAATGATGGAGGCCTACATTGGAGTCTAAAGGCCTTTATTTGAGTAGAACTAAAGCTGAATACATGGAACTTAACTTTAGTGGTAGTTGCTCTAGTAACAGAAGTGTAACTTTGGGTGATCAAATTATTAAAAGGTGTGAACGTTTTAGATATCTCGGGTATGTTGTTCAAAGTGATGGTGATATAGATGGGGATGTTAATAATAGAATTCAAGCTAGTTGGTTGAAGTGGAGGAATGCTTTGGGCCTTTTCTGTGATAGAAAACTACTGCTTAGACTGAAAGGAAAATTTTAAAAGAGGGTGGTGAGACCTGCAATGCTTTATGGTGCCGAATGTTGGCCTTTAAAAGAGAAGCATAATACTAAGTTAAGTGTTTCCGAGATGAGAATGATTAGGTGGATGAGTGGCCTTACACTTAGAGACAAAATGCGAAATGAATATATCCGTGATAGGGTTGGTGTAGCTCCAGTGAAAGACAAAATTAGAGAGAGTCGTCTTAGATGGTTTGACCACATTAAATGCCAACCATCTGATGATCCGATTAAGAGAGTAGATGTTTTAGATTCGACTTATGTTAAGGAAGACAGAGGTAGACCTAGGAACACTTTGGCTTATTGACCTAGGAACTAGACCTAGGAACACTTTGGCTTATTGTATAAAAAATGATCTTAATTTATTAGAACTAAATGAAAATATGACACTAAATAGGATGTAATGGAGAAAAAAGATTCATGTAGCCAACCCCACATAGTGGGATTAAGGCTTTGTTGTTGTTGTTGTTTCTTCACCATTAAATCCTACATGGATATTGAGCTTTTAGGTTGATCCCAAATTTGAGTATTTTGGGGACTGCTGCTTTTATGACTCATTACAGATTATTTGAGATATTTCTCTTTCTTTGTTTGATGGTTTTGTATCCTGGTTTGACGTGTAGGCTATGACAAGTGATGTCTAAGTCCCCTTTGTGCATCTGAGACGACTCCCAAGTGAAAATATCAAGAGTTTTATGGAGCAAGAGAATTGGTTATGTGTGGAACATATTGAGTTGATATTGAAACTCTCCTTCCAATAGCATCAATGGGTTGGCGTAGAATACTAGATGTTTGACCCTTAGCCGTTAACTTTAGCTTTTAGATTAAAATTGAGTTTGACTAGTGGTATGATAATCTATCCTTGATTTTTTTGGGTCACAATTTGGTTTGTGATGTTGCAAACTAGTATTGATATCTAATAATGGTTGCAATTGTGACGACAGATGGGGGTGCATTGGGCGATGCTGAAGAGAATTAGTAGAGCGAGTTTTAAGGCTGAGATGTGGGTTGCTTCCATTTAGGAAGAGGAAAATTGTGTTTCGGAGTAGGAAGATGTTAGAAAACTACTTCAATGTAGAAGAACAAAGAAAGAAGACTATGACACTGAGCAAAAAAAAAAGAAAAGAGGTGTTGAATTTGCAGGCTTGAGTAACTACTTTTAGAGTGGAGTAATGATTACCCTTGCTTTTGGAGGGAGTTGTAGCAGCTTCTGCAACGAGAGGCAAGGAACAAAGGTGTGTGGTGCTAGCTGAGGAGAGGAGTTGGGTTCGGTAGGATTTTATTCCTTGATGTGCTCGACATCAGATTTCACAAAGATTTCGCAATGGTGCTGGTATATGCCACCGTGTAATATGTAACAGAATCTTTGAGATTTTCTACATTTTGAGCTATTTTAATCAATAAGAGAAGTGCTTATCAGAGTTTGGACATGTCTGTTTATGAGGGTTGACTTGAGTGTCTAAATTATCAAGGATGCCTGTATGGTGGGACTCAACGGCAAGGTTTTAATAATGATCTTAATTTTGGGAGCAACATAGGTATAATTAGAAGAAATAAAGGGTTGAACTATTGTGATAATGAATTGAGATAACTTGTAATTTAGAATTAAGATGGATAGTTTATTAAAATTCTAAGGACTTATGTGCAATCTGAAGCCATTTTAGTTAGAAGCACTTTGGAGAGATTTGCATAAATTACTGGAGGAAAAAATAGTTATTAAGTTGTTTAAGGTGATTTTCGTTGAAAGATGCCCTAACACACTAGAAGGACTAGTATGTTGAGAGTGAGATCATCGGCCTTTTTGGATACTTGAATTGCTTACTTTCCGAGACTCAAGATCCTTGTTGTGTGTACTCTAATTAGGGTGATCTCTTCTGTCTTGTTAGGGCAGCAACTGAGTCCACTTTGCTGCCTGAGTTTGATGATAAAACTCTTGCCATTCTCGGTGTTGACAAGGAAACATTTTTCATAGCCTTAAAACACCTGGATTTTTTACTTTATGTTCATCACTGACAGAGGGTACTTCATCACTGACAGAGCTTAAGGCAAGCTTCTTCTTTATAAATGATCAAGTTGGTTTGGCTCCTGTGGCTTTGTGCTGTTTGTATTATGGATTAGAGGAGTCTTGTGGCAAGACAATAGTCCTTAAGCTTTACTTTTAAGCTTGGTTGCATCTGTAAATACGCTGGAGCTTACAATTATGCCCGGAGTTCTTCATACAAAGGAGATTTCCTTCAGTCATGCTATTGAGCTGTCCTTAATGCTCATCTCGTAGATATTTGATTCATCTTTTCTTCTTTGTTGATCATCAGTTGGATCTTAGATTTTTCTAGATACATAAAATTGATATTTTGGATTCACTGGAGAGCTGTAAAGGGCTGGACAGAGATTGAAGCCGGGTTCTAGGGGATGCATGATTTGTGGAATGGAAATTTTGGGAACAATTGGAATGTTAATATAGAAAACTCAAATTTCTAGGATAGTTTTGTCAAATCGATGCACTGTTGTCGCAATTCCTAACTGGAAATATTGAGAAGGGCCTTTATGCCTACAGGGAACTAAAATGGTCCGGGTAGGTGTATGCGTTTCTATGAAAATGGATGAACACAGTAATTGGAGCATAATTATAGGTACTTAATTCCAATTTACCCCTTGCTCTAGTTTCCACGTAGGTTTTAGCTGTTAAAATGATGATCTCATGGGCACATTTTTTTATTAATATAATGGTTCTTGATAAGCATTAGAAAGGATTTCTGTGTCAATTTAATTTCTTCTTGACTTCTTCGTATGTGATTGTTTAGAGTTGTGTCATGCTTGTGCTTTGTTAATTTCATACATAATTAGTTATAACATTTCAGTGCCCCCACTCTAACGTGCTAGAAAGTGCATCTTAGAAGCATTTATGACATTGTTTAGATATGTTGACTCTAGCCCCCACAATTTTACTTTCAATGTGGTTTAATTTTAAATCACTTATTTATGTGCAGATGGAAGATGCTATTCTACATCTTCAGGAAGGAGAATGCTTTTATTTATGTCGTCAATATCCTTTTTGTTTCCTCCACATGCTTTGCCAGAAAAGTAAGTTAACAATGCATACATGTTGATCCCCATACAAAAATGTGAAAAAGGAAAAACATTGCTGTTTGGTACTGGAAAAATAGCACTGATTCAGCCCTTGATTAGGAACTCAGTTAGACTGAGCTTTTTATTTGATGTTTCAGCTATTTCCCATGCATTGGTTTCAACTTTTACTGAAGTATTTAGCTATCATATGGATTGTCTGTTAGTTCGCAATAATGCATAGCTTTAGTGTTCAGTTCTGCTCTTATCCAAATGACTTGTGTGAGCTCCATTCACTGCAGATAGTTAAAACTTCAAGAAGGGCTTTAGTGATCCAAATTCTAGAACAGGAAGCCAACTTTTGATTGTCTACTTGAAATGAGTCGAACGGGCTACCAGTCCAAAACATACCAAGCAGTTCAATTTCGTGCCTTTTTATCTAGGCTATCGCAGTGTATTTGCGTGTTTTGAGAGTTAGAGTCTGAAATGAATGGAATTTGTTCAGACTTCGGTTGATGATTTTATTGATGCGAATTCTTGGGCCTTCTCTTTAGCAAATGCTTTTAAAAATTCAATGATGTTGTTACTAGTTGTGACAATGGGCTTGTGAGGGTAACCTTCTGCATCATTATTGAGACCTAAGAATTCACGTATTTCTCAATTTTTTGAGACAACAATCTATGAAAACAATGATTATGGCAGAAGCATATAATATAGTGGGATAACTGAGAAGATCAAGATATGGATATTGAGAAGAAAAGAGGAATGAATGCCTCAGTTGGCAGGGATATATTTGGTAATGAGGAAGATAGCTTCATGAAACCTTAATTTTAGGTGAAAGGGGAATATCACCTCGGATGATTGTGATAGCGAATGCCCTTTTTGTTTTATTTTGAGGTTTAGCATGCAAAATTATCGACTATGTAAATCGGCCTCAATGAAAAAGTACAAAACAACCCCTAAAGAAATATGAAATAAGAAAATTGTCATAAATAACAACAATTTAGCCACTAATGATTAACTTAAACTTAAACAAGTACATTCACATGCTATAGAAAATATGAAGTATAAACTCATGATTGTCTTTGGTAGAGTTATATTGCATCAATGGGTTACAAGGAGGTTTATTTCAGACTGTTGAATATTATTGGAGAAAAATTGGAGGTCTTTGGCTTTACTGTAGAGCTATAGACATCCGTCATGAATAACCATTTTGAATAAGATGAATGAGAAATCCATCCTGAAGAAGATTAGAGGTTTTCATTCACATTGTTAGATTTGTCCAATTTGAGTAAATTGTTGGATGATTGAACCTAGCTTTTTTTTATTTGTGCATATAATTGTGCTGGACTATTTGGCTAATATATAAGTTTGAATCCTAAGTAGGATTTTCGGTATACAAGTTGGGATGAGATTTACAGACCCTTGATGAGTAAGCTGAGAGGAGTTGGAAGTGATGAACGGAAGCAGTTTTTGATTTGTCTAGAGAGAAAAAAAATTGTGGGTTGGCTGCTCAAGGTTTTGCAGAAACCTTGCTTGTAATGAGAAGCTAAGGAATAATTATGTGCTTTTATACCAAATTTACATGATACCCTGAACGAAGATTGTGGTTTAATAATTTGATGTCATCAAGGAACTAAGAAAAATAGATGAGTGAATACCTTTATCTTAAACCACAATCAAGAAGATAGGAAAGAATAATTATGCGTTTCCTATTTTAGTGTCATAAACTCATGATGGATCGAAGAAAACTTGCCCTGCATCATCATTTTCAATCTTAAAGCTAACTTTTCTTCTTTCTAACTTTTTAGGGACAAGAAATAAACCATTTTTTTTGCACTTGATGGGAAATTTCGTTTTAGTTTATTTTACTTTCACTTTCCCAGTAATTTCATATTCATTTTTTGCTATTCATTTTATGAATTATTGAAGAAAGTTGGAGAAACAACATTCTCGTATTTCTTAATAATCAAATTAAAACTGTTCTCCTTATATAATAAGAAAAGACTAGGATAAACTTAATTACAATTATTACAACTTACCAAAGATAAACCAACTCAAGAAGGGAACTCATAATTCAACACTCCCCTTCAAGCTGGGTTTATGTACATGTTATAAAGACCCAACATGTTATTCCTAATCTCATTTTCATCATCACCTGTCGGGATCCTATCATCTACATAAATGAGTATCACTTTTTTACTTTTTTGTGTATGCTTTATGAAAAATGTATGATCCGTTTGACATTGGATGTACCTATTAGTTTTTTGGCAAACTTGTCAATCCAAGTTCTTGGAGATTGTTTGGGGCCATAAATTGAATTTCTTAGTTTACAAACCAAATGTTTATTTGAGTCATTTTCTAGTCTTGGTTGGATTTCCATATACATTTCTTCCTCAATGTCCTCATTAAAAAAATAAATTCTTGATCTCAAGTTGATGCAATTCTCACTCTTTGTTCACTGCCAAGGAAGAAAAAACTCTTACGGTGCTTAACTTGCTTGGAACAAATGTGTAATACCTGAATATCTAAAATAATGATAATAATAATAAGAAAACAAATAAAATAAAATGAATTTTAAAGTATTGTATCGGTTCAGAATGGGATAATCATTATGACAGTTTTGTTATTAGGAGAGGTTTACATTCAAACTAGAGGAGAAGCGAGAATTAGAAGTGTGAGAAGAGAGGAAAAGAAAGGGAGAAGTCATACGAGCATCCTAGGGCTCAATGAAGGAGTACTGCCATGCGAAAGAAGAAGAAAGAGGAAGACTTACCTGCAAGGGACTAAACCGAGGAACAAGATAACATTGAGAGGAAGAGAAAGCAAGATGAGGGTGCGCCAACTTCGATCGTGAGCAAGAGCACACTGTCGGTCGTTTTAATTTTGGTTTTGAAAATGTAGGAAAATATGAAAATAGTTTTGATGTGAATATGATTTTTGAAAGTAACATTTTGATTTAAAAATAGGTGAAACCAAACGAGTCTCACATTTTGAATAATACATTTATCCCAAAGAATAAACATATCACCTGTAGTAGGCTCAATCACCTAAACTAAAGAATTTGTGACATTCGTTTGGTCTGCGAAATATTTTATATGAGATCAACAAGTTCCCCTACCTAATACGAGGATTAGATAGGGTTTATTTTACCTTGGTTCCTAGTTCCCTATAGCGGCAAGCCCCTATAGTTAATTACATCTTAAATGACTGGGGTCACTTAAGAAAACTCTCGATTAAGATCAGTGATTTTGCCTTCAAGATTTCAAAGTTTAGGTTTCCACGATTGGACAGAGGAAAATCAAATGAGAGTGGCTCAAAATAGAAACAATTATCTAAAGGAATTCAAAGGAATGAATAATAGGGGATATCACAAATCCAGAGGAAACCCCGGGATGTCCCAACTATTCTAATGTTCGACTTTTCGTCTTTGAAATGATGTTATTTAATGTTTAATCTTGCAATTTATTTAGAATTTAGGACTTATATTTGTACGATATCTGATCGTGCAAATAGCCTAAAAAGGTAGGAGAGTTTATACCGTACCGTACTGTACGGTAACCTCAGAATCCTAAGTGTTAGGACTTATAATTGCATAATCAAGGTTGTGCAAAAGCCTAAAAGTGATATGTGAGGGTTTATGTTGCGTTAGACAAATCACCTCGAACTCATATGGATTGTTATTTAAATTAAGAAAATTGTTCGGTGTGAATGTGAAAGTGTTTTGATGTTGATAATCCACCTTGAAGTCGCTCTTCTGAATGTCCTCGTCGAGCTGCCCACACTGTTTGCTCCAAGCTCTTCGTTGTAGCACTTCTGAGTTTAATGTTAATTCCTATATAATCATTAGGTTTTTCTAAACGAATGTATAGTGTGTATCAAAATAACAAAGCATGCAGTATAAAAGAAAAGAACAGTATAATGTACAGTAAAGAGAAAAAACAGTATAACATGCTGAAAGAATAATATAATGTACTAAAAAAAGCAGTATAAAATGCTAGGAGAGTAATACAACATGTTAGGAAATAAAAATGCTGCAATGTAAATTACACCTGTAAATTTGAGAAGTCTGCTGCTCCTTTAAGCTAGCTATTATTCACTGTATAAATAAAAGAAAAGTTGATTGGAAAATTCTAGAAAATCAACAAATAAATCCACGAAGAAAGACTCGAGAAAATCGACGAATAATAATTTAAATAAAACTGTCAAAACCTCGGAAAAATCCCGGAGAAAAGGCCACGAGTGCTTTGTCCAAACCACGAGTGCTTTGTCCAAAAATCTTGTCCAAAAATCCCGATAAAACATACGAAAAATCCGAAAAGAGGGGACCGCAAGCACTTGGGTCGGGGCTAGACTCAAAATTATATATTTGTACTCGAGGGAAGTCGAAGGCTACTCAGTCACCCGGATGTATAAAGCCCGTCACTCCACTAGAAAGATATCCTACTGAGCCTAACTTAGGAGGGTACTCCTTAGCCCAGAATCGGTAATCAACAAGTGGACAACCCAATTGTAACATATTTAAAATTTAAATTTTAGCATGCACATGCATTTCAGACATACAAAAGGAAAGTTGTATTTAATTTTGTAATGAAAATATTTTTTTATAAATATTGTATTTGTTCTTATCAATTTGTTTTATCAATTTTAAAAGGTATAGTTATCCACAAGTCAATCACGTCATCGGGTCTAGGACTATCAACAACCTAAGAAGGTACGGGTCCCTCTCTAGTCTTATGTCGGTGAATAATACTTTCATTCTACAGTTCATCAGGTTTCAGAATTGAGTCCTGGTGTTATAAGATGAGATATCATTCTGCTCTACCACAAGCGTGCCTTTGTCATCATCGCCCTATGCCCCAAAACAAAAACCGACCAACTTGCGATCTTGCTTGATGATTTCACATATAACAAAAAGCTATACATGAACACTTATGTATTGCACATAAGTACAGAAAACCGAATCAAGAAGCAATAAAAGAAAAAAATAAAATTGAGGATGTGAGAGAGGAGACACT